GACCTTGCTGGTATTTAAAATACTGGTGGCATAGCTTTCAGAATTACAGCAACTCACAAGCCACCACAGTACGACAAATTGACAGACGAGTGGTGGACTTTTGAGAGTAAGCATATATAAAGCACTTACAATTTAGTATCCTTTCCCTTCCAGTTATCCATATTGTTATTGTTAAATGCCAACAAGTTGGTCGCGACCTTGTATAGGTTTCCGAGGAGCGGTTGGTGAGCTTGAACCGCCGACCTTGAGGTTCAAATAGACCGTGTGGTTGGGTGCTTATACTGCAGTGCCACCCCAGCACTCCTAGTTATCAACATAGCAGCAACATTTCCCCATGAAGCTAAGATTCTGATAGGTGAAAAGATACATTTAAAGCACAGGAACCAATATATATTTTAAATGGGACAGAAATGGGAAAACTTAGACTGATTTGGGAATAAAAATCACTCAAGTGGAGTGAACGCTGGGAAATGGCCAAAGATGAATTGATAAAGAAGGTGGGGGCCAAAGCATAGGGTGCCTGTAGGATCAGCATTGGACTGCTAACTGAAAAGTCGGTGGTTCAAACCCACCAGTTGTTCCTCAGAAACCCTAACCAGGGTTGCTGTGAGTCATAACTGCCTCCACAGCCCTTAACAACAACAATAGTATTCAGGAAACAATACTTTCAAGGGTGTTAACAATTAATGAACATTATTAGCCTCTGGATAGTCCAAATGGTTAAGCCCTTGCCTGTTAGTTGAAAGGTTGGTGGTTGGGATGTATCCAGAGGTACATCTGCAGACAGGCCTGTTGATCTGCTTCTGAAAGGCCGCAGCTTTGGAAGCCCTGTGGAGCCGTTTTGCTCTGCACACAAGCAGTTAGGAGTCGGAACTGACTTGACAACAACTAACAGCAGTGAATGAGTTAGGCTACTGGAGGAATGTGGCAGGAGTGGAAGGCGTGCTGACTCTGGAGAGGAACAGACCTCGTCTTAAATCTTGGGACTACTGTGTATTAACATTGAGACATCAAGACAGTTATTTAACGTTTCTGAGCCGTAATTCTCCCCTCAGGAAATGAGTAGGTATATGCTTACACGATTCTTACAAGGGTTAAACAGGACATCAGACATAAAGCTCTTGGTCCCTTGAAGACATTTGGTTAACATTAACTCCATTCACTCGGACTCCAATTTAAGATTCTGTCGTTCTTATAGTAGCCCAAAGAGAATCATTCAGTAGACCAATAGGAACATTTAAAGGTTCTAGTTGAATGCAAAAAGTCCTGGTGTGGTGCTATAGGATAAGCACTGTACTGCTAACCACAATGTCGGTGGTTCAAACCCACCAGCTGCTCTTTGGAAACCCTATACAGGGTCACTATGAGTCAGAACCAACTCAACGCCACTCAACAACAACATTTGAATGAGAGCGAATTTATTTTCAAAAGGCCGTGCGTCTCTGTGTTGTTGGGTGTGCCTTCAAGTTGATTCCAACTCCTAGTGATCCTGTTTAGGGTTTTCGAGATTATAAATAGTTACAGGTGCAGAAAGCTTCATCTTTCTTCTGTGAGCTATTGGTAGTTCAAACTGCTGACCTTGTGGAAACCCAGATTTATAAGTTAGCTAATTGGTTTCAGTTTTCCTTTGTTTGACTTCAGTTAAATTTTAACCACTGTGTTTTCAGTTAGCACTTGAGCACTTTAACTCTTGGCTAGCACTCTCTCCCCCTACTTCCTCATTCCCCAGTCCCATTCCCAGGATGCCACCACTGCTTAGAACTGGTTTTCCATGGTATTTCACTTCATATTTCTATATAACACACTTATAATTTTATTTCTTGACATGTCATTCTAGGCATTACCTGTTGACTTCCTACTATAACTAAGGATGTAGTTTGCATTTGCCATCCCCATCTCCCGTTCATACTCACCGTTATCTGCTATATCGTTATACCACTACTTTTAATTGAGTCATTAAATAGTACTTATATTATCATGACTTTGTCAATATTGTTTATTTTTGTGAGCCAGGTCATGTACTATGATTTTAAGTCCTTTCTGATTAATCTTGGCTCTTAACCTGAAGTTTCTGAATGTCTCTTCTCATCCCAACCCCATTCTTCATGCTGTTCTTACCACTTAAATTTTTAAGTACTTACTTCTACTGCTCTATGGGAGTAAGATATTCTTCTAAGATCCCCTTTTTCCTGGAGACGGACTTTTTTGAGCTTTGTACTCTCCACCCCTGGTCTAGACCAGCTAGGCTCCTGGGATTTTTGCTACATCTGAGATTTAAAATCCTGTGTGTCCTTTTGGACAATTATGTTATTGTTGTTAAGTGTTGTTGAGTTGGTTCTGATCGATGGTGATTCTGTATAGGGTTTCTGAGGAGCGGCTGGTGAGCTTGAACCGCCGGCCTTGTGGTCCAAACTGCCTTTGCAGCTGAGCGCCACACCAGGACTCCTTAAGAGTCAGATAATGTCTCAGGAACCTGACCTAGAGATGTTCGCAGTTCTATTTCTGTGATCTTAACTAGCTTACTTATTCTGTTTTCAGTTTTGCCATGTACTTACTGCATAGGCTTCACTAAGTGTTAATGTGAGATGATGTAAATTGGAAAAGATTCAGAAGAAGTCCTGTGAATTTAAAGTGGGACCACTAACTTATCCACAGCGAATTCCTTTTGATGTTATCATCTACTCTGCCTATCAAAAGCCTTTAATACTCTCCTTATCTTTGCTTAGCCTTATATCCTGCTTACTTATACATTCAACTGGAATATCCTCTTTATCCAGAGAAGATGAATAACTGAGAATCAGAGACGCATGAAGGGCACCTCTCTTAGGTACAAGCTGTAGTCTGTACCTAGGAGGAAGCAAAGTGAGGTTGTGTAGACTGATACACTCAGCAGAGAATTAGGAGCACTTTTTCATACATTTCATTACAAAGAATTATGGTACATTGGCTTGGTCTCAGGTACTTTATGTCTAAATAGAGTATGAAATTGTGAAAAAAATAAGTGTTTGGGGAATCTCTTTTGTTTTCTATTTTTGATATCTCTGCTGTTTTCCACTGGCGCTATAAGTTTTTTGGTTTGTAATTCAAAATCACTTGTTAGTATGTCATGGTAAAACCTTACTGTCCAGATAGTACAGTTTGGGTAGATGGTGTTGAGAATAAGAACCACCTGATACTCACATCTGAAATCAGTGTCAATTTAGAAATCTTTTGGTTCTAAGTTTCAGAAAGCAATTCAGAGTGTGTTAGGAATGTACTGGCTTCTGGAACTGAGAAGTCCTGGGGAGCTTACTTCAGGCTTGGCTTGATCAAAAAGTACTAACTAGGTCATTCGGATCCAGTCGCTCTTTTTGCCATTTCTTGGCTTTGTCTCCATATATGTTGGCTTTGGTTTTTGGCAACTCTTCATGTGGTGACTCTTAGCAGTTCTAGGCCATTTCGCAGCTCGAGCAGAGGCCCCAGGATGAATTTGATTGCATTTGATGAGCAGACTTTTGCTTTTCTGAATCGGTTGCTTTGTTTCAGTGGATTTGAAGTTCAGGTTTGCCATGTAATGGGTGGAGTCAGCTCAGCCTGAAGCTTTAAGATGGAGGAAGAGAGAATGAGGACGGTACTGCTTCCGCAGAGAAAAACCAGTGTTCTATTAGCAGAAGAAAGGCAGTAGATGTGAGTTGGCAAAAAGAACACATCAGCCACAAGACCCTGCTGTATCCAGCTCCGGGGAGGTGCACAAGACCCTGCTGTATCCAGCTCCGGG